CACCTATAAATAGGCTGGGTTTCGACATGTTAGAGGTCACCGCCTTTCCGCTCACTTCCGCTCGCTCCACCACCACTGGGGATGCGCACGTCCAGTCGCTGTGGGCCGCAGCTGACGTTTCCAGCCTGCCATGTGGTATTTCTGTTAGCCTTTGTTTGTTTGCTTTTTCATTGTGATTTTGGCCTGGTGGGACCGGTTGTCCTCGTTTCGATCTTTCTTTTGCATTAGGTTCTTTTTTGCTTTAGTCCGGTACTAGTAGGGGCTTAGACGGCCCGGTATAGGGTCGGACCCCTGCTGTACCGTTTTGTTCTGTTGGATCGGCTCACCAGGTGCAACTTTCTGTTAATACTTTTGGGGTTTTGTTTTTCTTTTTTGTGGATTTGGGAAACTGAGGGCATTTAACTCTCTTTTTCTTCACAGAAAATCCGAAGCAGCTGAACAAAATAAAAACTAAAGTTCAAGAGAGTTTAAGAATAAAATATTTTGTTGAACTTTCATTCTTGTCTCGTGTCCTCAAATATGTTGTGCCCTTGGTGGACGTAACAACTATATATTATTTTTCTCTGCCTCACCTGCCTCCCTGGACCACAAGTCTCTGGTGTCCAAGCCTGTCAATTGAAAGTCTAGTGCAGCATTTCTCAACGGGGGCGGTACCGCCTCCCTTGGGGCGTTCAGAGGATGGCAGGGGGCGCTGGTGGAATTTTTTACAAAAGTGGGGTGATGGGATTCCTCTGGGGGCGTTTGCTCAAAGGTAAACTTTACACCTTAAATGCACAACAAGACACGTTTAGACTTTGAGCAACTTGCTAAAACTGTATTGTGTAACATGCCTGGCTACAATTGTATCGATGGCAGCTCTTCTTTTCTTAAGTTAGCTTATTGGCGCAGCTCCGTTCTCCTGCTACTGTTAGCCTCACCGCATCAGGTCAGCGTTACACCTGCTGACGACGTTTCTGTGATTCACTTGTCTGATGTCTGATTTTCAAATATTTTGTTTTATTGAGGATTTTTGTACATATGTTTTGGCAGTGCTGTAGTCGTGTCAAAGCAGCAACTTTAAAAAGAGTTTTATTGTCTGTCTGGATGCTTCAACAGAATATCACTCTTATAAACATGTGACTAAAATCACGATACCCTCACTGTGTATCCCTCTGAAAAATTAACTAAGTTAAATAAAGAAATCCCTCCATGGTTGATACCACGATAGACAGCATTCATTTTATACAGTTAACATCGGTGTTGTAAGTGATCCGGTATGAAACGGTTGTACCACAGCACTTTTGAATTTTAATCATCAGAATACCAGGATTTTTCCCGTTTTAAAAGGTTTGCATCAGCCTGCTTTTTTCCATTGATACACTTCCCGGCAGCTCCATACCGTAGGAGGTAAAAAAAACAAACTCTGAAACAAGAGAACCGTGACATATAACGGAGCAACAAACTAGATGTGAATCAGGATCAGCGAATCCGGCCCTGAACAGTGAAAAATCAAGAGCTTATAGTGACAGTCAGATCAAGTGAAAATCATGATTATTAGGCAGTGCAGCAGGTGAATGACATGAGTGAAGATTACTGGTGGTGAGTAACGATAAAATAAAACTAACAGGAAAGAAACTAAAGAGGACATAACAATAAACCAAGAGAGGATGATATTAATCAAAGAAAACTAAATGGAAATGAATGAAGAACAAAATGCAAAAATTAACTAAGAAACTAAAGTAAATACAGAGGAATAAACTGGTATGGCAAGACCTTTCGAACAATAATTAATACAG